TGGTATAAATATAACCTCAGAGGCCATTGGAGCAATGCCAGGCTTTTTTCGATTCTTTGCTGATAATATTTCATAGTATTTTTATAATTAATAAAATCCAGTTGAGATGGAATGTGGACTCAAGTGAACGATCTATGGTACAATATCAAGGAAGTGTCTACTGAATGGCTTCTGCGAGGGTTATTAATGATGTTGCATTAGATTGATCTCCACAGAGGAAACCCATAAGTGGATAGTGGATATTAGGCTTAGGACAACGGGAGTATCCCGGCTCTGAAAGCACGGGAATCTCGATGACAGGGGAACCCTTGTCATCTGCCGCACTATCCTTAACGACATCCTCCTCGTATCTTGTATTTGTATTGAATTTATCACCACTTACGATTTTCGATTTTGATGGTGATTTCTTCTACAACCCGCCGGGGTCACCAACTGGATCATCATGACTCTGGGTCACTTCTAGTCCCGGTTGTTGAGGTGTTGGGCTAAGTTCTACACTTCAGCTTAGCGAGCGACGTTCAATCATGCAATTGTAGTAAACTAAGAATCCCAAGGAGGCAGAAGCATTTTGCGAAATAAGAGGGAATTTCATGTGAGGCTCCCGTGAGTTTGCTGCTCGGTAGAGAAGTGTTGAGCTTCGAGGTATGGTTTTCAAATCATCAGAGACACTGTATCTTGCTATTGCTGTACCATTTTATTCGTAGCTTCCATCGAGGCACGTTCAGGGCTCTGGAGACGAAAAACGGTGCGTGGAATTGTTGAGCCGTTGAATTTGTCTTTCGGTGCCAAGGGGTACCACTAAACTGGAATGCCATGTCAAGATTGTATGTTAAATGGGGTTATGCTTTGTCTGAAGAAAGGACAAAGGATAAAGTTTCTGGACGTTGAGCAATCCCGGCTGAGGGGGTGCGCCGCGCATTCGATTTCCATTCGGAATCGTAAAAGTTATGATTGCGTGTATGGCCTATACACTGACTTGTAGTGGCCAGCCAATTTACAATTGAGTGCTTTTATCCTCCAAGACGACTCTGGTACCAAACAGTCTACCCTGGAGTGATCTGAGAGTTGGTTGGCCTAGGCGTATATCGATCTCGGATTCGAATCGGACATTGTTCTTCGAACATAAAGATTGCCTTTTTTGTGGCACTCGGAGTGAAAGAGTTAAACGAACCGCAACAGTCACCAATGGGGCTGCAATGCTTGGGAAGTAGAAAGGGAAAGAGAAGGTATGAGAGGCTGCTAAGAACTACACTAGTCTGTCCCACTCTCAAAATCGAGGGAATAATGAGGAGGGCCGAGAAGCATCCCCCCACCAAAATGGGCATCGAATATGAAAAAAACATAAAGCTTGAGCATTGAAGAATCGCTAGCAAAAAACCGAGGGTGCATCGTGCTTTGAAATGAATGACTGCTAAAAACAGCTAGTGTAAAGCTGTAACGGCGGCGTGAAAACTTTATCGAACAACAGTTCATCAAAGTAGACAAAGGGTTCGAAGGAATACTGCAGAAATACTGCTTGCACTAGCGAAGTCTTCGAGTTCTTCTAATTGATCCTTATAGAAGATAAGGATTTTTCATTTCTGGAACGACAACTTGGAAACGATGAATTGGTTGTGCCTCCTAGTAAATGGTGTATGGCGTCTGGCCTCCAAAAAATACTTCAGCACGTATAAAGCTCCCCCGTCACTCACTGGTAGATTACTATAGAGATGACTATACTTATTAGTTTCACCTTGATGGCTGCTGTCTCGTCCAGTCCACAAGATAGAGGCTTTCGAAATTATGAGGTATCCTGAATGCTCTCTAATCTATTTGGAACGCTTTTAGACGTAAGAAGCTGGAGATTTTTTCAGCTGAATACCAGAAGCTATTCATCAGTTGATCTTCCACCGTCTAATGAAAAGCCATTTCCTACACTTAGCCCATACTTCACGGACATTCCATCCCTTTCGTCTGAACTCGTAGAGATCGAGGAGAAGGTAGTCGCCAATTTTCACTTGACCAAAATGAAAAGGGTCTAGAATGTCATTTGTGAATTTTAGAACCATTGGTACACTCGTCTTTCACCAACCATCGCCACTGCATTCACCCCGTACACCACCGACATCACTAGGACAACCCAAGCCTTCAGTGGCACTACTGCAGACGATGCCCAAAACGTCAAATTTGAGGGAGAGGTAAAGCCCTATCTTTTACCATCCATGGGCAGCATTTTCATCCTTTAAATTTAATCACATAAGTTTTAGCTGCACCAGTCTACTACTC